GTTCTGAAAATCGTTGAGGTCTTCAACGAATTTTGAAAATCGTTGAGACCTTCATTATTAATAATATCTCCATACTTTGTAATAATGTTTTTAGAAATTTCAATTACTTTAGAATTAATAATTAAGAATCTATAAGTAGTTTTATGTACCAAATCAACACCATTGACCACTTTCACTCCTATAGTCAAAACTTTTATTTAATTATTATAATTTGATCATGTTTATTCAAAAATTAAGTTACTCGTATTATGTTTTAGTTGTTTCAAATTCTTTGACTAGAGTGTCTGTTTCAGGAGTGTTTCATCATACACCTCCAAGATCTCATCCCGCACCTCCAAAAATTCCACTTTTAACCTTTTGAAATCTCACCATTATCCTACACCTCTAACTTTATAGAAAATTTTATTTTTAACTTTAATAAATATATTTTTATTTTCTTCTTTTTCTTGTTAAAAAAACTCTACACCACCTTAATAATAACTAAATTTAAAATTCAAATATTATTTAATATAATTTTATATTCTAATAATTATTAAAATATAATTTATGTTATAATAATAGTTATATTAAAAATATAAAATAAAATAATTAAAATAAAAATAATAACAATAAAAATAAAATATTAAATAAAATATTTAATATATTAAATTATATTAAAATATTAAATTAAATTAAATAATTATTAAAATTTAAATAAAAAGTAAAATTTTAAAACAATTACTTATCAAATAACAAATAAAATTATATTAATTAAAATATTTAAATATACTATATTATATTAAAATATTAAATTAAATTAAATAATTATTAAAATTTATATATAAAATAAAATTTTAAAAACCATTCTCGGATATGGATATCGATCCATAACTTATCGGATATGTATATTCTATTCACAAATTTTTCAAAATTTTGTTTTTCTAAAATTGTAATAATTATTAAATTTAATTTAATATTTTCATATAATTTAATATATTTAAATATATTAAATATGATTTTAAGAATTATTTTTATTTTTATTTTCATTTTTATTCTTATTTTAGTTATTATTTTTTAATTTTCTTAATAGAACTATTTTAAAAATATAAATTATATTTTATTAATTATTAAAATATAAAAATATAATAAGTAATATTATAATTTTTATATAAGTTTAATATTTATTAAATTTTAAATAAAAAGTAAAAATATTAAATATTTTACAGATTTTAATATATAAATAAGTTTTCTAAATTTTCATTTTTATTTAAAATTTAATAATTATTTAATTTATTTTAATATTATATTATAATTTAATATATTTGAATATATTAAATTAAATTTATTATTATATTTTATAATTATTATTATTATTTTATTTTTATGTTTTTAATATAACTATTATTATAATATAAATTATATTTTAATAATTATTAAAATACAAAATCATTTTAAATAATATTTAAATTTTAAATTAAATTAAATTATTATTAAGCTGGTGAAGATTGTTTTTAATAAAAAAGAAAAGAAAATGGAAAAATATTTATTTAAGTTAAAAATAAAAGTTTTGAAAAAGTTGGAGATGGAAGATGTCAGAAGGTTAAAAGTGAAATTTTTGAAAGTGCAGGATGAGATCTTTGAGGTGTAAGATGAAACACTCTTGTTTCAGATAGATTTGACATGTGCTCTAATTGATGTTCAAAGACTAAAATAACTATTTGATTTCAGATAGTGTCATATAACATAATTTTGAAGTGAGATGTGAAAAAATATTACAATTTTTTTTAAATAATAAAAGATATTATAGGAAAAACACGTTTTACTAATATATATTTATCGATGGCATAAGATTCGTTTGTAAATGTTTTTCAATAGAGACGTGTTTTATATTTATCGACAAAAAGTTATGTTAATAATTTTGAAATTGCTGATGGATGTATATGTTTTATTAATAAATATATTGGTTGACAATGTATTATTGATTTAATTTATTAACGGATAAATCCGTTATGTTCGTCCATGAAACAAGGTCGAAATTTGGGATTTTTCTTCAGCAAATTATCTTTGCTCCAAGAAACCATTAATGTCATATGAGGAGTTTTTAATAAAAGCAGGACTTAGAATTAATTTGACAGAGACACAAATTATGGGAATAGGTAAAATGGGTTTTTAACTTAGGTAATTCTTTGTTAACTTTGTTAACTTTTTACTTTAAAACCCTCCTCACTTTTTCTCTTCTTATTCTTTGTCTAACCTAGCCGCCTTTGTTCTTCTTCATTTTTGTTCTTCTTTTCGTGCCACTCCACTACCACAAGTTTCATAGCACCACATACTAGCACAACACCCTTTTCACCATGGACACTTTTTCAAAGTAAAGCTAAGGTATTTATTTACGTTTTTTGTTTACATTTGCATAGTTATAGAGTTTTAATGATGTTGGTTTGGTCTATGCATTGATCTGGAAAAATTGGTGAAGAGAAAAATGGTTGAGACCTTCAACGAGTTCTGAAAATCGTTGAGGTCTTCAATGAGTTTTGAAATTCGTTGAGACCTTCATTATTAATAATATTTCCATATTTTGTAATACTGTTTTTAGAAATTTTAGAATTAATAGTTAAGAATCTACAAGTAGTTTTATGTACCAAATCAACACCATTGACCACTTTCACACTTATAGTCAAAATTTTTAGTTAATTATTATGATTTGATCATGTTTATTCAAAATTTAAATTACTCATATTATGTTTTAGTTGTTTCAAATTCTTTGACTAGGCTGTCTGTTTCAGATAGAATTGATCTGTGCTCTAATTGATCTTAGAAGACTAAAATAGCTATTTGTTACTTTTTAATTTAGTTTTGTTTCGAACAATTAAAAATGTATTATGACTTAGTAAAAATTATTTTATTTCTTAAAATGTTTTAATTTCAAACCTTATTTTCATCTTTTTATGAATTTTATTTAAGGTAATGTGTATGTGAATACATTTTTTTCTTTTTTATCCTTTTATCTTCATATTTAGCTTTCTTTTATAATTTTAATAAAATAATAATAATAATAAAGAAAAATATGTAATATTATTTAATAAAGAACAATAATAAAGAGAAATAATAAAGAAAAATATATAATATTATTTAATATATTTTTAATGCTAAACTTAAATGTAAAATTGAAATTTATTTATGTTTTAAACTTTCGCACATTTTTGTTTACACTTTTAAAATTTAATTTATATAATATAACTCAACCTATATTATAGGTTAAAAACATTTTATTTATTTAATTCTAATTTTGAGAATTAAATTATTTTAAAATTTTGAAATATGAACAAATTTTATTTTTATGTATAAATTTATTGATTAAAAACATATTTAAATTACTATCGAAAAAATATCAATATGCCAAAAAAAACTAAATCTCACAACACTTGCAATAGTGATATATGATAATATTGTTAAGAGATATATTGATACAAAAGAATGATTGATTGGAAATAACTTCAATTTCTTGAAAAAAGTTAAGCTATATATTTGCTTTACTTCCATTTTTTTTTTATTTCACACACTCAATTCACTCACACATTATATTTTTCTTTCTTACTTCTTTTAAAAGTCAGGAAATCTTACTTTCATAATCTTCACCTCATCAAATTATCAAAGATTCAAATTACATAGAGGTATGCTTTTCAATTCTCCATCCATATATCCTTTAATCTCTCCACATTCTTACTATGAGCTCACAATTGTTTTATTATTAATCAGGCTGTTTAATCATTGAAATTTTCTATTTTAGTTTTTTTATTCTCTGAATATTGCAAATATATATAAACCCACTCTTCATGGTATGTGATATTAATTTTCATTAATAAAAACTACTTAAAAACACATGTGTTATTTTTTTAAGATAATAAAAAACAATAAAATTATATTATTATTATTATTATTATTTTTATCATTATAATTATAAAATTAAATATAAATAATTGTTATTACTTTATTGTAAATTATTTTTATTTATTTTGAAAAAAATAGTTTTATAATTAAAAGACGGTTCAATTTAAAAAAAAAACTGTTAAATTTAAAGAAATAATTTAAAAAGTGAAATCAATAAAATAATTATTTTAGTTTAAAAAATATTATTTAAAGAGTAAGAATGAAAATAAATATAAACATGAAAAGAGGATCTCTTTATATATGTTTAGATAATTCATTAATGTGATATTAATTTATAAGATGCCATTAAACAAAATGATACTTTTATCACGCCAATAGATTTATGATTTTTTAATTTTTTTTAAATATTTCAACATTTTAATTTTTTTGTTACTTTTTCTAATTTGAAATTTTAATTCACCCTTAAATACAATCAAGAAATATCAACTTAATAATGGTAATTAAATTCTGAATACAGTTTTCTTGTAAATCTTTTCTATCATATATATAATGGAATTATATATTATCATAAGTAATTATCGCATTTAATGTACATAAATAATTATGTTTTATTTTACTTTTAATAATATTTAAAATTAATTACATAAAATTTACAATGAATGACAAATTAAAAAAAAAAAACTAAAAGAATCGTAGGAATAAGAAGAAGACAAATAATAGTAACTAACAGGTAATGAGAAGATTAGTATATTAAAAAAGAATAATTGTTTCCCTTATATTTTGATTATTTGATTCTATATAATAATTTTCTTACATTATATCTTTAATACAATATACAATAAATAATAAATTAATATCTTATTTTCAAATAATGGTAATATATACATAAAAGACGACATAATTAAAATAAAATGCAAATATACACGTCTTTCAAGTAATTTACACAGTATTAATATGATTGGACCATTAATTTATTTGTTATTGACTTTTTAATATGATCGGACGATTAATTTATTTGTTATTGGCTTTTTAGTTGTATGAAAAGATAAACTAACTGAGTTTCTCTTAGTGTCCAGAAACATATGTACTCTCTTTGCTTATATTGTTGAAACTAGAATTGCAGTGCATAATTGAAGAAAAAAAGTTTGAAATTGAAGATGACTCTGAATGACAGAAACATGGTGGAACCATCAACCAGGAGGCATGAAATATGGTGCGATGGAACAAGAATTGAAACCATAGTTACTAACGAAGAAAACATCGTTGAACAATGGCTTTCATCAACATATGCTCTCAAACAAAAAGTTGTTGGTCTTGACACTGAATGGATGCATGTTCCGAAGGCTTCCACCAAGAAGGCTACCATGAAAGTTGCAATTTTGCAACTTTGCGTTGAAGATAGGTGTTTGATCGTTCAATTGTTCTTCATGAAGAATATTCCTCCTTCTCTCCAGAGCTTTATGATGGATGCTTCCTTTGTGTTCGTTGGGGTTGGAGTGATGAATGACATTAGTATGCTTAAGAAGAACTATGGATTGGAATGCAATAAAGGGACAGATTTGGTTATGTTGGCAAAGAAAAGATGGCCTGAAAAAATCTCTTCTGGGTCACTGAAATATCTGGCGAAGGAGTTGGTGGGTCTTGAGATGGAGAAGTCAAAAGCTGTGGTTACCAGTGATTGGAAAGCTAAAGAATTGACTGAAGTTCAGGTCAAATATGCATGCATTGATGCTTATGCCTCTTTCAAGATTGGAAAAATGGTGTTATCAGATTAACATTCATGTTAATTCATTTATTTACTCCTTTTTGTTGGAGATATATGATCTTTATTTATGTATCATTTCTATAAGTTTTCGACATAGTTTAACTCTTCTTGTGAACCTGTTAGTTTTTATGAAGTTATAAATAAATTTGTAACTAATGTTTTTTTATATTGTCTTTTGTCATTGAATCCCTCGGCCAGGTTGTTTCGACGAGGTGGTTTATTCTATTAAATTTGCATGGGTTAAGACACAAATACAACTACATTTTATTCTTACTAATGTTTTTGATGTATTGTTTTCAGTGTATACTCCAACCATATAACGAAGGGTATAAAAAAGATTCTCATGTGATTAGAAAGTGTATTAACATCTGAAAATTATATTTTCAAACGAGAGACATCAACGCTTTTTATCTCATCTTATTTCTAATTCTTATATTTGTCTGAAGAAAGGAGCAAAATCAAATCTAGGCAAGTGTCTTCTTTCTATAAAGAACAGATCCAGATTATGAAAACGTTAAAATTACAATGTGATTTCCTTTTAAGGTAATGTCATTACGGGCAATATGATGGAAAATTAAAGTTAAGCCTAAGTTTCATATTGATTGAAGATAGAAAAGTTTGACCCATAAGGAAGACTCGTAAACTTATTATCTTACAGATATTAGTTTGACTAGTATTAATTTCTTATGCATGGATTAAGGTCATCTTAATGTTATTTCCCTTTATTAAATGAATCCCTATATTGAAAGTCTTCTTACCAAAAGAATATGGATATGGTGGATGGAGAATGTCAAATAGAACCTACAGGTTACAGTGACAGGCAATTCTCCAAAAAGAAAAGAATACCTGTCTTCCCCCACAAGGCACTTGAGTTCCAAACCAGGTTTCACATGCAAAGCATATCTGACCTTGCTTGTGCTCCTCCAAATGGCACTCCAAGACAAACCTAAAAGTTTTCTTTCCAAGGTTTCTTCTATATATTTCAGAAAGCACCTACCTGTGGCAAATGGATGACACGGCACCTTACTCATAGAAGGGAAGCCAGATAACAGAATTTGTACTAGAATGGACAATTTTTTGAATCAAATGAGGTTAGTACTTCTAAATTTTTACTGTCAAACATGTTTCAGTATTTCATACCACTAAATATATAGACTTCTGTTTAAGTATTTACCCTGTGACTATGAAAGCATAATTGCATTAGCTATGTTGTCAAGTCTAGTTTACAATAAATTGAACATGAGTCATTTGAGGTTAGGTATCTGATTACTAAGAAATTACTAGTTGTCCAAGTCTACCACAATTCCAAACAATTTTTACGTAACAGAGTCAAATTTTATTAATGTTTTCCCGTAAGTTAAAGGTCGATTATGTTGTTAAGAAGTAATTTTTTAATTCTAACTCAATCTTACAAAACCATTTTGTAAAATGAAGTTTACACCCGTTTATATATTATGAATTGACACATGTCATACCACGAACAAGGAGTGATCCAGGCCATATAATACTCTCTACGGATCATCATTATAAATCAAATTTCTTTCCTTCTCATTTTCAGTCTCCCTTCTTGCTGATAGTAATTGCATGCCTTCACATATTGTATAAAACAACGATAAAGTGTTCATAATTGTTATCTGTTTGCATGAACACTTTTGTTAGGGTGCCATTTACTGGTGCAGAGGAGAGCAAATCTGGTCTAGGTGGCACCAAGGATCCGAAAATACCAATACAAAAAACTCGCTCTTTCAAAGGTAATGTTTCAAACAAATATTTCTTTCTCCTCTAGGTCTTTATCATCTGTATATTGAGATCATATTTGGAAAGAAAGAGGGTATTGGTGAAGAGGTAAAAAGGAAGGAGCTGAAAGATTGTGCTATGCTGTAGTAAACCTGAAACCATAAATAGGAACTAAAAGAATAAGAGTAGAAAGAGTTGGATATCCATTTGACCAAAGATTGAAAATATGAATGAAGAAAATGATGTCTTTCTGTCAGTTTTTGGCTTAAAATCAATGAGTTACAAATAATTTCAGGAGAAAACAGGGGTGGCCAGAATTGGTTCCAGAAACAGTTTGCAAGGAAAAGAAGCGGTGATCATGAGTCCAGAGACATGGACCATGCTGCTGCAGTAGCTGCTGCAGCCTTTGCAATTAATTTGCTAGATGTCTCTGAAGAGAAGAAAGAAAGCCCGAAGGCCTTGTTGGAAAAGACCAAAAGCAGGGTGAATGGCACAAAACCTCCAATTCCCCTACTTAGTAGTGCCTCCAAGAGATTGTCAGGTAAAGAACTCCACTTATGAATAATGTCTACCCTTTTGAAGGGTTTTCATGGCCCATAATATTTCTTAAGATTTATTCTTTAACTGGATCAAATGACTTTGTACAACTCATGAAGCAGATTTCACTTTATAGCATAAAACTTTTGTTGATGTACACCTTTGTTGAGATTTCACTTTATCTGAATCATGCTCAGGTTCATTTAGATTAAAAGATGACCAAGGTAAGAAGCCAGAAGAGGCAATTATCCCTGCACCATCAATGAAAAAGACTTCAACATTCATTGATAAAAAGCCTGAGACTTCAACAAAGCATGATCTTGGAAGACAGACAACTCTTGGCGAATCTTTCGAAAGACACACAAAAGCAGATGAATGGGAGAGAACCGAGCTTCAAGATATCAGACAAAGGTAATTTTTTGGATGTGGGGGTTCATATTACACTGAATTTCTACCAAAAAAGCAGCTCCATCAGAATTTGAATAAATGCTACCATGCTTGATCCTTGCATTACGTGCAGTTTTATAATGATATTTAGGAAATTGTCAGGTACGACAAGTTGAGAGAGAGGATAGATTCATGGGAAAACAAGAAGAAGATCAAAGCCAAACACAAGCTATATGAAGAAGAGGTTTCACTCAGACATTCTTTATACCTTATACCTAACTTAAATTAGACTCAATTAAGTTTTGGAAGATTCTATTGTGCCATACACATTTTAAGAGTTTTATATATCGTGCTTCAAATTGTTTGGTGAATAGTGTGGACATATAAACTTTTAAAGGAAACAATTTATTCGACCATTTATGCTGGCCTCTGATCAAATTTCATTAAGCCGTTCAATTCGTCCACAGCCAGACAGATTAAGTATTTGGTCTAACTTTATAGATTCGAGTCTCATTCGTTAACTTTACAGAGTTCAAGCATATAAATAGATGATGCTGCTATGTACAAATTTAACTGCATTAGTTCTAAAACAAAGCATATAATACATCTGACGTTATAATTTGGACAACGGCTCAATGTGAAACACGGCTCAAAAGTACTTGAAGTAATACAATTTTAAGCCATAAAATCTGTCATTCCTAATCACGATCTTGTGAAACTGCAGAGAGTACATGCAAAACGAAAGATGAGAGCTTTAGAGGATTTTCAAAATAAGATTACATCTATAGACAACATTGCAGAACGGGCGAGAACCAGGACAGAAGAAAGCCGGAAGAATGAAGTAAACAAAGCGAAAGCAAAGGCAAATGTAATTCGATCAACAGGCAAAATGCCAGCCATTTGCTTCTGCTTCTGATATCACCAATTGTGTATTATCACAAGGTTTGGGGAACTAACGGAGATCTAAATATATGTTTTACAGTTGTATCTATAGCTCTTAGTCCTCACTTGAAACTTTGAAACAATGCAAGTTCCTATAAAATTTGGAAAATGAAAAACTGAACAGTTAAACAGATACACAAGCTTCTGCCTGTCTAAACTATTTTTATAGTTTTTCTTGCTTAGATTTTAGTTTTGCTAAAGAAAAATCATTACCCTGGTTTGAGTGTCAACTTATTTTCACGAAATGGCGAATTAACCTATAAAATGACTGATCATATTTTGAAACTAAAGTGTTTAATTGTTTAATCAATGTAACCCAGTTATCATACAGCACTATTGTATAACAAAGTGTCTACGTATGCAAATATATTAAAACTCACCTCTTTCAATTAGAAAAACATTTTCCTACAAAAACAGAGTGAAGAATCTGGCAACTTTTAAAACATGTAATGAACGGGCAAAACATAAATGCCATTTAAGTTCGGGTCCAAATCAAGCCTAGAATTATAGATATTGCACGAAACATTTTTCAACATATAATCGCTTCACCACTCATTCGATACATGAACTTTTTGGCAAGTGAACCTTGTTCTTTGTACGAAGCAATAATTACGCACTTCGGAAAAAGAAAAAAAGGGAATTAAGAATAAAAATACAACTGCCAAAAAATAAAATTCCTCCCCAGATTTTCAACATATAGTTGACATGAGGATTGCACAAAAATTACAAAAGATGTGAACCATTATGACAACCTAAAACTAACAGAGAAAGAAATTACCAGAGAACAACAATCAACCCAAAAATATATTGTGAATTTGCTGAAGATGTAACAGTCTGCTGAAGGATACATCCTAAGATGTAATTTCTCTTATCAGCCTCTGGATCGTAGGGTATGCAAAGTACAACACGAGGAATGATGGTACGGCAAAAAGAATAGTGAGTAGTAAGTAAAGGATTAAAATAACAACACTGCCAGGAACCGCAAAAAGGGCAATCAGCAGAAAAATAACGATCAATGGGAACTTGGATGTAAAGCGAAGAAAGAAATCCAGAGATTTGTGAAGAGAAAAGTAGTGTGTGTCTCCACTGGCACCAACATCACGGTCAGATCCCACCTGTCTAGAATATGGACTCATTGAGGCCCTTCTTTGGTTACAAGTACTAACTTGACTTCCCAGAAGGTTGCACTTGGGAGACCAAATTGGTTGAGTGTCCCCAGATGAGGAAACAAGCTTATGCCGATCCCCATTCAGACTCTCAACCATCCAAAGCAGGAAGAAGTTCTTGCAAGGATATTTAAGATTTCCATTGTAAATGATCCGGAATGATAACAAATGGCACCATGGACAAGAAATGAAGAACGGGATCCTGATTTGCTGAGTAGGAAAATTCACCACAGCCCATTGC